AGTATCAGATTGATTTCATCGCAATGTGAAGAAATTGGAGATGACGACGCAGCCTACTGGGCACAAGATGAGATCAAAAAGGCGAGCAGATGGAGGTTCAGATCACTCACTGTCTAGTGCAAGGAACCTGCCTTCAAAATTAAGTTGAAAGCCTTCAAGGAAGTTGGTGGTGGGCCACAGTTCAAGTTGAACACTCAGAAGAGAAAGTGAACTAAAGGACGAAACTAAACAGGACATCTTCACGTCAGTATTCAAAAAAAAATAGGCAACTTTGAGAAATATCCCTGAAGAAACATGCGTGGAAAAACACTGGAAGTCTCTGAAAGAAATGTGGGAAAAAATCTGCATAACGGAACTGAGAAGGAAGAGGAAACAAGAGAGTACAAAGAAATGAATCTCCACGAAGAAACGGAGGCTAATCGAGAAGGGACATAAAGATGAAGAAGCAGAAGATAAACCAGTGCAGTGCGAGGAAGCACAACGAAAAGACGAACTGAATACAAAGTTCAAAACACTACACTGAGCAAATAAGTGAAGAAGAGTGCACGCAAAGAAAAAAGACACTTCTACGAAACACTGGTAAGTGAAGCAGAGCAGGCTGCAGGTAGGAGAGCAGAGATCTGACAACATTGTTTCAAATAACCTGGTTACTATCCAGGAGGGAAGAGATCAACACAGATGAAACCAATGAAAGATAGTGAAGAAAATTTAGCTACCACCAAAGCGGAGAAACAAAGGAAACGATGGGTGGACCACTTCGAAAAGCTCTTGAATCGACCACCACCACCACCACCTGCACTTCGTCCAGATATACCACCTGCAGCACACCCACAGAACTACAAGTGAACACAAGCACTCCTACAAAAGCTTAAGAGAAATCCTGAACGCCATACAGCTACTGAAATGCGGAAAAGCAGCAGGAACAGATGGAATCGCGTCAGAAGCACTTACAGCAGACTCAGGGACAACAGCGAACATGCTCACACCACTACTGCAGAAAGTCTGCGAGGAAGGATGGGAAGGTGTCTGCTCAGTGATGATTGGAAGAAGTGCTACCTGGTCAAACTTCCAAAGAAGTGAGACTTCAGTGTTTGCAAGAACTGCCACGGAATCATGCTGCTCTCCACCCAAAGCAAACAAACTATAAAGCCGCATCATCTGGGAGAGACTAGAGGATATGCTGGATTCAGAACTACAACCGGAACAGGCTGACCCGCTGGCTGGATTCAGGAAGTACAAATCATGTGCGGAATAAATTTCAACGCTACAATACGCATCATCATAGAATAGAGCATAGAATGGCAGTCAACTGGATCTCTACCTCATCTCAACTTCATCGACTTTGAAAACGCCTTTGACAGCATCAAAACGAGAAGTAATTTGCCAGCAGTTGCTTCAACACTAAGGAATACCACGAACATTCATCAGCCTCATTCAACAACTATATGGAGACGCCACATACCAGCCAACTTATTCACAATGGGATGCTCAGTCATGCTTTTGAAGCGAAGTGAAGAGAGGAGTAAACAAGGCTGCTGTCCACTATCACCCACTATCCTCCTGATTGTCGTCGACTCGACCGGATCATGCAAGAAACAGTGAGGAGCTGTGAGAGGCTGTGAGAAGAGGGGCATACACTGGTTGGACCAATGAAAGAAAGAACCTGGAAGATTTGGATTTCGCCACTGATGACTTGTGTCTGATGTTGCACAGACTGGAAGATGTGGAGGCGAAAAGTAAGAAGTTGAGAGAAGAGTTAGTGCAGTGAAGTTGGACGGGACTTCAAGTGGACGTGGAGAAGACAGAGTTAGAGGTGATGAAGATAACCAACCGACAACACAACAACCACCAGCAACAACAAAAACAACAACAGGCTGCAATGGTCATCAACGGGAGAAACGTGATGGAAGTAGCCTCTTTCACCTACCTTTGTGGGTAGCACTGTTTCAAATACAGGCAGTGGTGGCAGTGGCGGCGGTGGTGGCAGTGGCATAAACGAGGACGTCAAAGGCAGGATGGGGAAGATAGCAAGACAGGGGTTCATTAGCCTGAAACCAGTGTGGAGATCTTCTGCACTGCACTGCACTGAACTGCACTCAGCATAAAGCGTGAACAACATTCGGATGTCCAACACCAACTCAGTCAAGTGAATCAGTGCTTCTGTGTGGTGGATGAGAGACTTGGTGTGTTGCAAATTGGAGTTCCAACCAACTACAGACATTCATTAACAACTGCCACCTACACTGGCTCGTTACTGAAGCTCAGATGGATTACCAGAATAATAATAATAATAATAATAATAATAATAATAATAATAAGGAATAGGGAACTGTAGCCGGGTAACGAAGCAACCGAGAAGCTATCGCTGAACAAATATGCAGTGGAAGGAAGTGGAGATGGATTGGAGTGGGCATACACTGAGAAGGCTTACTGGGGACATGACGCGTCAGGCCAGGCATTTGAGTGGAAGTCAGATGGGAAACAATGAGTAGAGCGTCTGAGCTGAGGGTGATATGGAGGAGGAGATGATAGTTTGAGGGCAGTTCTGGAGCCAGATTGAAAGATTGCATGGAAGAGAGTGCCCTGGAGACGTGCTAGTGAAGCCCTAAATCGCACTAGGTAACCAAGGGAAAAATAATAATAATGCAAGTGTTTAGAAAAAGTGAGAATTCCATTTACCGTGACGTCGGTGGAATCAGTTTGACGGATATACTCTCTCCGATTCCACTTTCAATGATCATTCAATGGCTAACTGCGGCTATGAGAAATGAACTAGATGAAACTAGCCAGGTGTGCGAAACTGGCCATAGGTGTATCTACCAAATCTTCAATCCTGTCAAATCTTGCAATACAAGAGTACCTACCGGCATCCTACACAAGGTATATTTCTTGACTTGTAGATGGCATTCATGTTCATCTATAAAAGGGTCCTGTGGCAGATTTTCAAACTCAAATTTGTGCCCCTTAAATATATCACTCCACTGAAGGCTCTACAGGCAAATATCTATGATTGTTACAGCTTACAGTGAGGTCACGGGTGTGTTGTCTGCATTGAGTAAATTCTGTCAGGGATTTATATCCACTTCATTTTTATTTAAATTTGTCATAGATTTTAACGTTAAAATCTCTGTCTGGTAGTCAGACTTTACAGGGACTATTCCTGGTACTGGAAATTCCGTAGTTTGAAAAGTTATAAATTTCGAGTTGTCTAGTTCTTATTGCTGGTCAATGCCCAACGATCACCTCGTAATATCTCCTCTAGGTTTCGGATACATTTTACTGATGAGTGTCAACAGACACCAAAGACTTAATCTCTATTGCATCAGACTGTCTTACAATAATAAGTTCCATGTTTTTTTACACTTTCGGGTCCTTATAAGCAAAGTTAGCATTTGTTTTAAACCTCCTCTAGCATACCTGACAGTATGATAGAAGAAAATGTATTGATTTTTAATCTCTGTCAGATTAATCTGTACAAAATTATTTACTTTCAAATCAGGTTGAAATGTTTTCATAATTTGATTCTGGTATTCATAGGGCAAACTCAGATTTAAGCAGTAAAGTCGGTAGTGTTTTTAAAACTTAAGTGTTTCATATAGTACTAGATGAATAGCATCCAAAATCCTTCTCAGATGAATTTACTAGAACAGTTGGTTGGCTCACGTAGCTGTCTAGCCTAGTCTTTCCATGGTAAAGTGCTTTGATGTCAAAACTCAAAGAATTTAGTTTGTCATTGTAAATATAGATTGATATTATATGAGGAGCCTTTGAAACTGAAGACAGTTGAATGACATTTTAGCCTTGTTTAGCAGCACCAAAACATCCTGATTTACTCCCCAATGAAGCCAATTTGTTGATCACATACTGGAGGGATGTTAACTGCAAAGTATTTATATTAACTGGACGATGTTGGATAGTTTTATTTGGAATATTGGATCTTGTATAAAGACAAAATGACTGAGTCCAAATTAATACCTGAAACCTTGCCAGGTTCACAACAATAGCTTCAGATTACTTGTGAATGAATAATGTACAAGTGGTTATATCTCATGACACTACAGTCAAGTTAGTCACTTTTTCAAGAAAGGTAGCTACTCCTGCATCTTTAAGATAGTTCTGCATACAGTCTATCACCAACTGTCTGTTCTCAGAATGATTCGGAAACTGAGGTGTTTCCATAGTATACTGTCATGATACTTTTCAGTTTGGTTTTCCTGTTAACTAACTAATATCCAGTCAACAGTAATGATCATATTCAAACTTTTTTGTCATTGTAGTTTGAAGAATAATATTTCAAGTTTAACCGAAATTCAAATATGTCCCAGGGGAGGTTTTAAGGGTTAACTTTTTTGTGCCAAAATATACAGGCAATCAATAAATTAAGTAAATAACACTTACCAAAAATTTGATTCGCATTGACGGATGAAACATCAAGCTTTTAAAATATAATTTCCTTTGATACGTTATTAAGAAATGAAAAAGTTTAGTAATTTCTTGTTGTCATAACTTTTTTGTCTAGTCAATTTTACGCAAATAACTTTTATTACAAAAAAATATATCCATACAATATTTTAGACGTCTATCTTAACATTTCCATACATTCTGAGTATAAAATAAAAAAATGAGACAGAACTAATTACGTTTTCCTCAGAACTCTGTGGTGCTATATCCGCTGATTCTACAGAATAATTATTTAAGGTTGTCTCTTGTTATTGAACCAAAGTTATTGATCTTATCATAGGTGTGATGTATTTGAAATTAACTTGCCTACATGGCAAATTTTAGAGGTGATCTTATGTTTCGTAAGTACATACTGACTATTTCGATAAGTTAAATATTCTATATACTAAATTGAATATGTTCATATTTTCTCCATATGCCAGATACTTCGAACACAACCAAGGAATTTCAATACAAATCTTAAAAAATAGCAGACATTTTCAAGCTACTTTCTGATAAGTCTTAATCTATTCACAGTTTCATAAGTAAATCCAAAGATAATGAATTTAAGAAGCATAAGTGATCAACTTCCAACGTATCCAAACAATATTCAAGGAGAATTACGCCTTATATTGCAGACAAAGGATATTTTTCTTGTATGCTACAAACATCTAGAGGAATACCTTCGGTTAGTTAATGAGCAAAACAGATTAATTACAAAGGAGTTTGTACAAGAACAACTACAAATTGGAGAAGATGAATTAACTGAACTTAAAGTCGAACTACAGGAAGCTGAAAACAGGTTGAGTGCACGCTTGCGTCATAACGAACTACTAGTTGACCAATTAGCAAGTCTTGGTTATGCTTCTGTTGAGTTAGGAACTAGTGTCCGTCACTTAGCGTTATGTCGTTCACCACAAATGCGGAAAAAAAATATTGGCTCAACGTCAGGTTGGAACCTTGGGTTGCTCAAGGTATTCAGAAACACCACCTCCAACACATTTGATCGACAATATAGCCTTGGCTATTGCAGAAATTCATCAAGAAGTAAGGGCGAAAGTCAAACCTTTGCTCGATTACTATAGAGATTTATTTTATCTTCAACTACACTTTAGTTTGGTACTTGGCCAAGTGTGCAACTACTGTATGCCTCTAGTTACTGAAAATATTGGTCTAATTGATAGGATATTTTTCTGGTCAGAACGTCCTGAGTTTGATCTTGTTCGCCGTGCAGGAAATATTGGTGATCGATTAAAAGAAATTTATGCCAGAGTCCAAACTGTCTTAGGTGTACTTGCAGAATCTGTCACATTTTTACAGTCTAAAGTTGAATTACAGAAGAATTTGGAGCAGAGATTTCATGAACGGCTGGATGAACAGCAAAAAACAAAAGATAAAATTTTGCGTGAGGTTCATGCAACCAAACAAAATATGGATTTGTTAGAAGAAGAAAATGATCGCCTCATTGGTAGTTTGGTGAAGGTTAATCCTAATTTTGTGGGTAGTAGACATTTTTATGAATTAGCAGAAGGCGGAAATTTAATGGGTGCTAAACGCTCCACTAGTGCTAAAGATACTGGTAAGTACAATGCAGAAGACAAACCAGGTATAGTGAATAACCTCTCACCAGGAGTCAATAAGACAGATATTTATGACGAGGATAATTCAAAGGAGAATAATAATTCTAACAAATTAAAGCAGAAGGTGCTAAGGTCTTCTGAAACCAACTTCCTGCTTCCATTAGGAAGGAGTTCGGCTGAAGTAAATAACAATAAAGCTGTTAGCCTTTCAGCAGATACTCCTACAATGATTGACCGAGTTAAATCCAAAAATGTCAGTAAAAATATGAAACATAAAGTGGATAAAGCTTTTAGAGAAAAACTTGCGAAAAACAACAAATTTGCCCACACACAGTCACAAGATGACCTGTCAGAGTATACCAAGAAATCAGTAAGCATGATATCAGATACGTGTCAGTTTGATACAACTGCAGATTTGACGCTGACACCAAAAGAGAGAAGAAATTCTACACATCTACGACACAACAAATCCAGAAGTAAAAGTAGGAATAAAGAAGGTGAAATACGAAAGTTTCCCTCCGAAAGAGAACTTTATAAACATAAAAACCGAAGGATAAAAAGCTCTGAGAGAGATGAAAAGCAGGAGAATGTAGAAAAATATCAAGCGAAATGTAGCGACCTGAGTGTCAGAAATAGGGATGACAAGAGGGATTTGGTTAAACCAATTCGTCGTTTTTCAACACCAGAGCCTGTGATAACAAAACGGTCAAATATGCATAAGGTGGCTCACATAGAGCCAACACCTATGGATCTAACCACAGAGCCATCCCTAAAATCCAAACTTTTAGGAAGAACCAAAGACCTCTTAGAAGCAGCATTACATCGTATACCTAAATCCAATAGTAGTGATCAGCTATCTCCTGCAGAATTTGGAGCAAATTCTTCCTTGGGAACTGGTAAAGTTGAGCAAGCGGTAAATGCTGAAGGTGTTACGAGTGTCTCATCATTTGATTCCCTTATAATCGCAGATTCACCTTTAGGTGAACCTGAATTAATGTTAGGTTCACATGTCGCACCAATTCGACGGTTGCAAAAGAAAAATCATGGAATATTTGAAAGTCAAAATGCTAGAATACATAATACAAAGTCAAAAAATACATTATTGATGGACATTGTAGTTCAACAACCCCTCCCTGCATTATCAACTGATGTATTGTCTACTGAAACATCTACTGAGAATAATGAAAATGTTCTTGAAATGCAATTAAATGAATACAAAAGGCATAAAAGGAAATCTTCAAAACTTCATAAAACAGAAGATGAACTAAGAGATTTCTTGACGGAGATAAATTGTGAATCCTTTCAAACAATGACCAGTTATAATGGATTACCACCTCTCATATCATGAAAATACTCATCACAGTGTTTTATGACTGTTCAAAGATTTACGACGAATAAACTAGTTCCTATATATTATCTTGCATTTAACTAGTTCTTCTCTTTTCATTTCCTTTCCAGCTGGCCAAGCTAATCAAATGAATTTATATATTCTTCATTAATGAATCAAATCTTTATTATTTTCTATTCAACGAAGTGGAAAACTATGTAGAAGCCTTCATCAAACAGAATACATCAGTTAAATGAAAAACGGATTCAACTCCTTCTGTGAAACAGCCCTAGACAGCCGCAAAAGAATTAAATGTTATATTCTAAAAAACAATTATTTTTTTATTTCACAACTGCTTACACTGTACTGAAAATCTGGGGAAAAATACTATAAATTATGAAGTGAAGTGTTATTTCAAAAATGTTATTGTCTTGTGAAAGATCCTTTAGTTTGTTTTATGACACTTTCAACAGCTTGAAATCTGTCAAATATTTTCATCAATATTACTACTACCATAGAAATTCCTTTGTGTCATATATGTCAGATCTATCAGTTCTGGATAAAAATTTATCGTTGTTTACGGTGTAGAATCCAAGTAATGAAGAAAGTTGGATTTTATGCTCTCTTAAAGTATGCACAATGTGCACTATAGCTTAAAGGTCAAAAATAATACGAATATTAGATACTTTTATCAAATAGTGAGCATTGGTTTCGGCAGCATTCCCTGCAGAAGATTATTTATTGCCTGTAATGTACCGAGTTTTCTGACACGAGAAAAGGAAGTACAATGCTGTTGAAAAGCTTAACAGCTCAAACTGACTGTTCACTCCGCAAAAGATGAACAATCTCGAAGTAACTTACAGTGAAGGATTAGCTACTAGATCTCTCTATTAGATATAGTAGTTAGAAGTAAAATCCTGAACATATGGCTTTTTTATTTTGAAATTCATTTATTACACATAGCTGCACAGTGAAACTGGTATTCCTAAGAGGACTTTGAATTACCAGTTATCACTAAAAACTCTAATGTTATTCAGTAAGCCTTTGAACAACGACGACCACTTTTACTGCTTACGATACATAAAATGATGCCAAAAATCAACCTTTCTCCTTGTTGATTTGAATGAGAGAACTAAGAAACCTCTATAGTTGTATTTATTTCAGGTATTTAAATATTTTATGTCGTTACATGCATTATGCTGTCCTTGATTCGACCAAATTGATTGATCACTACCGGCATATAGTCTCCTGAGTGAATGCCTCGATATTGCCTGTGTTTCAGTTTTATGTTAGGGATGAAAATTAGCTAGCGGTTAAGTCCGGGACAAATGTTTCATCTTGTTTGGGACTTGTCAGCTAGATGTGCCTGCCTCCCGGTGAATGACGTTGTTCCGACTAAGTTTTGAACCGTCCCACTGCTGGCCATCATCCATCATTACCATAAAACTGCAACACGAGCAGTAATAAAGGACCTATACAGAAGTAGCTGTGTCAATAGAGATGAGTCAACTCGGTCCAATTAATGATAAGATATTACAAGTGAAAACATGAAAGCTATACTCTTCGCACGAGAAGTAGCTATCGTGACTTTGTGGCCTAGCGGATAATGCTCTGGTGTTTGTATCAATAGTTCCTGGGTTTGAATCTAGGTAGGAGCAACATCGCTCAGTGGGATGGAGATAAATCTAACTGATGAGTCCCAAATAGGACAAAATACCCATCCTTGACTCCACCGCTAGCCATCATCTATCAGTAATATATAACTTGAGTCTTTTATTCATAGTCAGCATTCGATCCTATCTACTTGTTATTTTTGGTGCCTCAACCAAAATTTACTTTATGCCTTACACTGGCCATTCCATGATAACATTTGTGGATGCATAATTGTAGACCGTTAACAAAAATATCGAAAACAAATGTTGTATTAAATATCATATTTTTATGTGAATGGGAAAGATTTCAGGAGCCTAATGGATATCACTCTGGTCTTTGAAGTGAGTGGTCCTAATTTCCACTCAGTGAGAATGGCCTCACCCACTGAGAGGTGAATGCACTCACGTGATAAGTCCATAAAAGGACTTCTTAGATCTCCTTGTTAGTTGCTATCTGTCATTGGTATCAAAAGAGAGATTATGTTAAGTGATCAGATGTTCCAATGATTATGTACGAAAAATTAGACACAAGAAAGTGAAGAAAAACTAAAACTGTTAATAACGATCATAATGGCAATAAAGATGTTATCCCAGTGTTAATGGTAATCATTTATGAGATGAAGAAGGGAAGGGATCATCTCTGTAATAGATAAAGTGTACAAATGACGAAGGTAAAGAGGGAGGTTGTACAAATTCTTTCAGAACAAGCAATCTCCACTTGTTCATTCGGTTCCTCATGGCTTCTGCTGTATGTTAAAGACAAACTTGTTGAGCATGGGTTAGGTCAAAAGAAATGAGATAATTAAATTCAAACGGATTATTATTATTAACTCAGTGTTCGAACGTTTGACGACTCATTTCCTCTTTTAAGCGTCAGGATTTTTACGGTGCAATCGACCCACACTTTATTATTATTATTAATGTTTGTCCCTTGGGTACCTAGTGAGATTTAGGGCTTCACTAGCACGTCTCCAGTGCACTCTCTTCCATGCAGGCTTTTCAGCCTGGCACCACGACTGCCCTCAAACTATCATCTCCTCCTCACACGATCTCCTCCATGTCACCCTCAGCTCAAATGCTCTACTCATTGTTTCCCATCTGACTTCTACTCAAATGCCTGGCCTGACGCGTCATGTCCCCAGTCGGCCATCTCAGTGTATGCCCAATCCAATCCATCTCCACATCCTTCCACTGCATATTTGTTCAGCGATAGCTTCTCGGTTGGTTCGGTACCCGGCCACAATTCCCTATTGCTTATTATTCCTATTATTATTCTAGCAATCCATCTGAGCTTCAGTAACGAGACAGTGTAGGTGGCAGTTGTTAATAAATGTCTGTAGTTGGTTGGAACTCCAATTTGCAACACACCAAGTCTCTCATACACCACACAGAAGCACTGACTCACTCGACTGAATAGGTGTTGAAAATCCGAATGTTGTTCACGCTTTATGCTGAGTGCAGTGCAGTGCAGTGCAGTAGATCTCCACACTGGTTTCAGGCTAATGAACCCCTGTCTTGCTATCCTC